CGCCGTTCTACATCCTCGTGTACGTTGACGACTTGGTCTTTGCCACTGCTGACACTGAGTCTCTCGCCCATGTGAAGTCGGAGCTGCAGAAGAGACACACGTGCACAGACCTGGGTGAACTGCGCAGCTACCTTGGCTTGCAGATCACCCGGGACAGAGCACGCCGCACCATTACCCTGACTCAGTCACACATGGTGCAGCAGGTCCTTCAGCGCTTCAGCTTCACCTGGTCCTCAGCACAGGCCACTCCTCTGGCTGTAGGTCACTCGCTCTCAGCTCTGCCTTCGGATGAGTCCGTAGAGTCGAGTGGTCCTTACCCAGAGCTAGTTGGTTGCCTCATGTACCTGATGACTTCCACTCGTCCTGACCTAGCATACCCTCTTGGCCTTCTGGCCCGCTACGTAGCTCCTGGCAGGCACCGAAAGGTGCACTGGGATGCTGCAAAGAGGGTATTGCGCTACTTGTGCAGTACATCGGGCATGGGGCTCGTGCTTGGAGGAGGGAGCTCAGTTGTTCTCACTGGGCACTCAGACGCTTCTTGGGTTGACGACCAGGCTACTCAGCGGTCGTCACAGGGTTACACCTTCAGCCTTGGTTCTGGTTCAGTTTCGTGGCGCTCTACGCGTTCGTCTTCAGTTCTCAGCTCCAGTTGTGAGGCTGAGATCTACGCCACAGCCATGGCTGCACAGGAGTTACGCTGGCTCACCTACCTGCTGACCGACCTTGGAGAGAGGCCTATTTCTCCTCCAGTGCTGTACGTCGACAACAAGGCTGCCATTGCCTTGTGTGAGGAGCACAGACTGGAGCACAGAACGAAGCACATCGCTCTCCGTTACTTCCTTGCTCGAGAGCTGCAGCAGCGTGGTCAGCTTCGTCTGCGTTACGTGGCCTCTCAAGCCAACACCGCTGATATATTCACCAAGGCACTTCAGCCTGGTGATCATCAGCGCTTCTGTACTTTGCTCGGGCTGGTGCCCACTTTTCCTCACTTGTTGTAGGCTTTGCCTGTACTGTGATCTCTATATATACTCCTGCCTGTTTGTTCTGCTAGGCTGAGATCACCCTTGCTGTTTGTACTACATATATACTTCTGCATGTGAACTGGCCATGTGGCCCTTTGCTTGTGCTCGGAATGTGTGGTGACGTTGTGATCCACCCTGAGCTTGCTTGCCTTTCCTGACTGGTCTTGTGACCCCTTGCTCTCCCCCACTTTGCCTATGGGGGTGTGTCAAACACTATATGTGTTGTTGTGTAGGCTATAGTGGGTTAGCCTTTAGGGGGTACACAAAACTAGGGTTTGCTACTTGTACTCCAACTTTTCATAGTTCACACACTTCTCATTCTGACAGGTGTTACGCGAAGGTTCCGCGGGTCGCGAAGCGTCCCGAACAGATCCTTCCCGAATTCGGTAGAAGGCAATTCGGTGGCAACCGAAAAGCCAGAATTCGGTGCACGCAACCTAGCTCGGTGCTATAACTATAATAAAATATAGGAAAGCACCTAGCCTAGGAAATCAGACAATTCATGCATGCATATAATTATCCTATGCTAGAAATAGCATGATAAAGTAAAGGCAAGCAAGCATAGCTGGCATAAGCCGTCCTACTCTCACATGCAGGAGGTGCTGGAGCTACTGGTGCTGATGGCACTGCTCAGCCGCGACTGTTCTTTGCTCCGCCGTCACCTTCGTCTCTGCCGCCGCCTGACTCCGTGCTGCGCCAGGTTCTTAGCCTCCCGTCTTCTACTAGTCTTCTGTTACAGCCTGGCTCTCCACTGCCTGCTCCTTCTCCTTATACTGAGCAGACAGGGGGCCTTGCTGAGCGTCGTGAGCCTGCGTCTCGTCCTGTCTCGCCTGCTCACACTGTACGCACTGGTCGTACTGGTCGTCGTGTTCCTCGTGAGCGTCCGCCGGCTGTCCCCAGCACGCACCTCATGGCTCTGCGTCCTTCCTCTCCTCCGCAGCGTGTTCCCCTGCCGTCCCCTCTTGCGTCTTCTTTGTGTCGGGGAAACCCCTCCTGCGTTGCCTGCTTCGTTCTTATACTCCTACTGCTTTCTCCTTCTCACCCTTGCATCTGTCTTGTCCCTGTCCCCTGGTTCCCTTCTTCGTACTCAAACCTGTATTGTGAGAGATTTCCGCTCCCACACGATGGCTGCCCACAGTGGCTTTAGCTACCTAGCTGGAGTTGGCTTGAAACAGTAGTTTAGATCCACTATACGAGGCAAACAAACGAGAGAACACGGATGCGATTGCTATGCTAGGCTACTTTATTCACCCTCACCCGTGTTGCCAATTTCTTGGCGAGTGAATTGGGCTCGAGTCGCCTGGGCCTTGGATTGGCCGATCCTGATTTCCTGTCTCTCGAGGCTTCCTGAATCCAACCCTTTTGTACCCAGCAGTGCCCTATTCTACCAACTTCGCGTCACCCTCAAGAACCCAACCAACCCTCGCTGAAACTGAATACTACAAGCTACACCCCTCAACACCTCACAAGCATGTAACAGAACATAATGCTTTTACCTTTATGTTCTGTGACAGCTGTCGGAGAAACCCCTCCTGCGTTACCTGCTTTTGTTCTTATACTCCTGCTGCTTTCTCCTTCTCACCCTTGCATCTGTCTTGTCCCTGTCCCCTGGTTCCCTTCTTTGTACTCAGCCACTACCTGCCCCCTCCTGTGCTCGTGCTCGTGCCGCTCGGGCCCGAGACACAGGACTTCCCAGCTGAGGACGGCTGCTCTTCATCCCTGCCCTGTGGGTCTGGGTCCTGCCATGGTCAGCTCTCTCTTTGTCTTCTCCAGCTCCAGTACTCCCACACTTCGCCCCGCTTGCACCCGCCCCCTCACTTTCCTTGCCCCACTTCTGTTGTCTTCTCCTTTGTCCGTCTCTATCCGCCCTGCCCCTACAGCTTCTTCTGTCCCAGCTGCTGCCGCTGTTAATAGCTGCATGCATCCCCCATCTGCACCACATGTAGGTCCTCCACCGATGCCAGTATCACTTCCTTCAGGTGTCCTACTGCCTTGCCTCCCTCCCAGGCCGCCCACTTCTCAGCCTCTTCCATTCCCCTGGATTCTGACAGCACCTGGGATGCTAGCCGCATCGGCTCATCTGCCCATGTTCCTCCCTTAATCCACCTCACCGTCTTCACGGCCTCTTCTGCTTCCTGACTCGTCGCATTTTCCATTGTATGCTCTCTTTCTTCCCCCATAGGTAGGCACTCCCATGCCCCCACTTCCTTGCTCTCCCTCTTTGCTTCCACTTGCTCCTGGGCTTTGTCCCACACTAGACCTTCCTTTCCTCCTACCCGTAGGTCTCCTGGCCCCCAGTCGCAATCCATCTCTACTTCTATGCTCCTCACACCCGTATCAGCTCCTCTCACGGCTTCTTTTACCATTTTCTCCCCCAGCAGCTCCGGACGTTCTTCCCTCAGCTTCCTCACATGCTGCTCCGCCCTCATACTTCCCTGCACTTGCTTCTCTGCCTTTAGTACACACGGCCGTGCCCCCGCCTTCTTGTCCTTCCGTTCAGCCTCTGCTACTGCAGGTACACACGCTCCCGCCCCCACCTGCTCTTCCTTTTCCTCTGCCTTCGCTGCTGCTGTTACACACACACCCGCCCCCACCTTCTCGTCCTTTTCTTCTGCTTCCGTTGCTGCTGTTACACACGCTCCTGCCCCCACTTGCTCGTCCTTCTCCTCTGCTTCTGCTGCTGCTGGTGCACACACCCATGCCCCCACCTGCTCGTCCTTTTCTTCCGCACCGGCTGCTACCAATTCACAAGCCCCTGCCCCCTCCTTCTCCTCCTTCTCCTCCCCTTCTGCTGCTGCCCATGCCTCCACCTTCTTGTCCTTCCCTTCCGCGCCTGCCGCTACCGGTTCATCCGCCCATGCCCCCACCTTCTTGTCCTTTTCTTCCGTTTCTGGTGTTACTTGCACACACACCCATGCCCCCACCTTACTCACTTGCTTCCTTTGTCCGTCCCTGCCCCCACTGCACCACCCCAGGTTTTCATGGCGACGCAGCATCGCACAGGAGTACTCTGGCTCTTGCTCCTCTTCCTCCTCTTCCTCTTCCCTCGCGTACACTCCTGGTTCTTTCTCCTTCGTGCCTCCCAAAGCCTGCAGCTAAGCCCGCAACCTTCCTATTTGTGTTTCTATCTCCTCTTGTGACCTCCTTGCTCCCCCAGTCCTCTGATAGCAGTCCTTCTGCTGATGCCCCCTCTTCCCACACACTTCACAGGTTGGCGCGTCAGGGCAGTTCTGACGGCGGTGCCCTGGTTTCCCACACACGTCGCAGTTCTTGCAATTCAACCTCACATTTCCTGGCTGTCCACACCTGTAGCAGGTCTTCGTGTCTGTCCTTCTCTCATATTGGTGCTCCTCTCCGCCTCCCGCCCCCGGTATCATTGCTGCCGCCCAGGTGGGTCGCATCTTCTCAGCCACCGTTGGCATGTATGCCTTATAACGCCTCTGTGCTAGCTCCACCTTTTCTGTTAGCTCAAAAACTTCCTCCAGACTTGCTTCTGCCCCCAGCTCGTCTACTCTCATTTTCAGTCCTCCGGCCAGCCCGTCGTCCAATCCTGCCAGGAACTTACTGATCAGCATGCTGCTGTCGGTACACACCACATCCTCGGCCAAGTTCATGAGCCGCCCATAATACGTCAGCAACGACTCATCCTTCCTGCGTTTGAAGTCCTGAAACTCCCTGATTCGCTCTGCCGTGTGTCCTGGGAATTGCTTGCGCAGCTGCTCCAGGAACAGTGACGTAGGGTCGTCCCCATCCTCCTCTGCCCTCCTCAGCCACTCATGCATCTTCATGCGATACAATGTTTCTGCTTCCCCACCCAAAGTGTTCGGCAGACTCAAAAAGAAGTCGATGGGGTCGATCCCACTCCGATCGCACCTGAACTTGACATTCCCAATCTGCATCAGATAATTATTTAGATTAGTGCTTGTCCCTCCATTCCCCGTGAAACGCACTGGCACCTCTACTTGTGGTGGCGCCTGCATGCCCCATCTCCCTGAGTCCCAGGTTCTCGTTGCTCCTCGCTCCGCGCGACTAACTTCTCCTCTGTGCTCCCTCATTCCCCGGTTGCCTGTGCTTGTCCCATACAGCACCCTGCCTATCCCTTCTCTAGCAGCTCTGGCTTCGCTGGATCCTTCTCCTGTCTGCCGTGGCCTCCTGGGGCCCCTTGGACTCGGACTCCTTCTCCGCTCCTCCTCATAAGCCTCTCTTTGCCCGCCTGCTTCCCCCCAATGCCTTTCCCTCTTCTCAGGCGAATATTCCTGGAATCGCCCTTCTTGCTTCCTCCTTTCCCGCTGCTGCCGGTCCTCTCTCTCATGAAACTCTCTCCGTTCTTCCTGCCTGCTCCTCAGCCCTTCTCTCCTTCCAGGGACATATTCTTCCCAACTTTCCTCCTTTTGTCCCGATCCATGGCGTGCCCGCCTGTCGCTCTCTTGCTCTTCCCCGCTCTCTGTTTCATACTCGTGCATCCCCTCCCATCGCATGTGCTGCTTGTCACCTCTCTTCCTCTGTCCGCTCAGGTCCTGCTTCTCCCTCATCCCCGCTCCACGTTTCCTTCGCCCTTCTCGCCTTCCCCTGCACCCCTCTCTTTCTTCAGGGCACGAATTCTTCTCCCGCCGATCCGGCTTCCCACGTCGGCACCGTTCCAGATCATACCCATAGTCCTCTTCTTCACTATACTCATGTTCCTTCTCTTCACGCAGCTCCTGATCACTCCTTCTCGTCTTCTCCCTCCCTTCCTTCCTCTTAAGGGACTCTCCTTCACAGTGTCTCCCTCGTCCGCCTGCTCCTCGGCGCCCATGATCATCTCTTCCTCTTCCTTTGTCACTTCCCGGGTCCTTCCCTGGGGACACCTCTGGCTGGCAGCGCTCTTCCTCACCCCTTCTCCTGTTTATCTCTCTCTCCTGCCTCCCCCTTGCCTCTCGGACAGGTTCCTGCACCAAACCTGCTCCTGCACATGGATACTCTTCTATTTCTTCACGGCGCGCTCTCGCATCCGCACCAGTGGTGTACTGCGACAAACACTTACTGCACTTAACACGCGCTTCCCTCTCCTCCGTCCGCTGCCGTGCAGACGTGCACTGTCACAATAACGAGGAAAAGTTTAGAAGCAGAAAGAGAGGAGGGATTGCACTAGCAGCAGTTGGCATACATATAGGAAACCCTAATTGGGTTGTACTCGCTATAGAGTACCCCACTGCAGGCTAGACAATAATAACATTCTGACACACCCCCATAGTCTAAGTGGGGTATAATCAGCAGAGCAAGCAGTCATAGAGCAGGTTCACATGCACAAGTAAAGCTAGAGGCAGTCGCAGAGGGCAAGTGAGGAGGAGGAGTGACTGCGAGAGGAGAGGAGATGGGAGGCGACGGTGGAAGCTGCAGACACACAGGAGCGGCTGGCTCAGTGGCTACCGAAGCAATGGCCCGGACTACAGGAGTAACTGGCTCAACGGAGATTGTAGCCTCCTGACTAGAGCAACTGACCCACAGGCGACTGGCGACTACCGGAGATTGTAGCCTCCGGACTACTGGCGCTGCTGGCGACACGACTGCTGCCTCCGCTCAACTTCCCCCAACTGTCCCACACCCCTTTCACACACCCCCTGCTGAACCCCTGGCTCCACTCCCACGTCACCCCCCTAGCACCACTCCTTCGGCTCCCACACATCCACCCCCCTCAGCGGCAGCTGCAGCAGTGGGAGACAGAGGAGGAGGAGGAGCAGGGGATGGCGCACACACCCGTCACCCCCATACTCGCCACCCCCACACTCGCCACCCCCAAACCCTAACTCGGGCAGCACGGGGCAGGAGCGTGGGCTGCAGCGCGGGGGACGGCGCGCGGCTCCCTAGGGTGCCGCGACAGGGTATCGGGGGGTCGCGCGCGGCTCGCCAAGGTGCTGCGACAGGACGGCAGGGGCCGCGTGCGACACCAGGGCGCCGCGACGCGACGTTAGGGGCCGCGCGCGCCTTGTCAGGGCGCCGCGACAGGACGGCAGGGGCCGCGCGCGACACCCTAGGGCGTCGAAACGGACGGGCGGGGGGCGCGCGCGGCTCCCCAGGCCGCCGCAACGGAACAGCGGGGGCGGCGCGCCAGGAAGGAAAGGGGCCGCGCGCCAGAGAGTAAATCGTCGCGCGCCGTAGGCGCGCGGTGGGATGAAAAATGGGTCGCACGCCACGGGGCGTGCGACAGATCAAGTAGCAGCGGAAGCAGGTTGGTGGGCCCACAGGCCAAGGAAGGACACGCTCTGATAGCATGTCACAATAACGAGGAAAAGTTTAGAAGCAGAAAGAGAGGAGGGATTGCACTAGCAGCAGTTGGCATACATATAGGAAACCCTAATTGGGTTGTACTCGCTATAGAGTACCCCACTGCAGGCTAGACAATAATAACATTCTGACATTCACTGCGCGTGCCTCCTATCGCAGTCATCCTCACTTTCATCTCCCCGCTGCTCTCGTGATCGCCATCCGCCCAACGCCATGCGCCTCCTGCGCTCATATCCGCGTCTCGGCTCAGGCGAGCCATACACTCCCGCCTGCACGTCTCGCCTCCTCTCTTCCTCACGGCTGGCTTCTGGCACGCGCTTAGCCTCCTTGCCTTCGCCGTGCCTTGCATTACTTCTACACAGCCTGCCTGGCGAGCGATCTGCATTTGCGCTCCCGTGGTGCCTCCCATCATTCTCAGGCATTTCGCCCGCCGAACCGCCTACATCCGCGCTCCCACAGCGCCTCGCGCCATTCCCGCGCATTTTGCCCGCCGAACCTGCTGCAACCGCGCTTTCGCGGCACCTCGCGTCATTCTCAGGCATTTCGCCCGCCGAACCGTCAGCATCCGCGCTCTCGCGGCACCTCGAGCCATTCCCGCGCATTTTGCCAGCAGAACGATCCGCATCCGCGCTCCCGCGGTGCCTCTTGCCACTCCCGCGCGTTTCGCCAGCAGAACGATATGCCTCCGTGCTCCCGCGGCGACCTGCGCTACTCCCACGCACTTCGTCTGTCGAGCGGCTTGATCCCGTCACCTTGCCGCGCTCTTCGCATTTCTCTCCACGGCGTCTCTCGCCTCCCTCGCGCATATCGTCCGGCGAGCAATCTGGTCCCGCGTTCTTTGGATCATCCTCTGCCGTCCCCTCGCCGTCGGCCTCGTTTGCCAACATCAGCGAGCCCGTTTTGTCGGCATCCTCATGACGCCCTCCACCCGCGCCCCGCTGGCCTCTTGCCAGATCCTAGGGACCGCTTCTTGACGGCTGAGGCCTCGTCGCCAATCTCATCTGCAGATCGGTCTCGCCTCCATCGCGCTGTCCGTCACCAGCTGCCATCCAATCCGCCCGGTCCGCCTCTCTCTTAGGCGAGCGACCTAGCGATCGTTCCCGCTCCTGTGAGCGCATCCGTTGCGACGGCGGAATTTCCCGACGCGAATACGTTTGCTGCCAGCGCAGCTCGTGGCAGTCCATACTACCAATTCTTTCTCTCGTTTGTGAGAGATTTCCGCTCCCACACGATGGCTGCCCACAGTGGCTTTAGCTACCTAGCTGGAGTTAGCTTGAAACGGTAGTTTAGATCCACTATACGAGGCAAACAAACGAGAGAACAAGGATGCGATTGCTACGCTAGGCTACTTTATCCACCCTCACCCGTGTTGCCAATTTCTTGGCGAGTGAATTGGGCTCGAGTCGCCTGGGCCTTGGATTGGCCGATCCTGATTTCCTGTCTCTCGAGGCTTCCTGAATCCAACCCTTTTGTACCCAGCAGTGCCCTATTCTACCAACTTCGCGTCACCCTCAAGAACCCAACCAACCCTCGCTGAAACTGAATACTACAAGCTACACCCCTCAACACCTCACAAGCATGTAACAGAACATAATGCTTTTACCTTTATGTTCTATGACATCTGCCTGACGTTTCAGACCCTGAGTCTGACCGCGCTCGTGCTGCTCACCCTACTGTCACGCGTCTGCTTGCCACTGTTGTCAGTGACCCTTCGTTTGAGTTCACTGCTGCGTCTGCTTTAGTCGCTGAGCTTGTTGACTTTGCTCCTGCCTGTCGTCTAGACTTCGCTGCTAGTCTTGTTGCTGAGTCTGAGTCTGTCTGTCCTCCGTCCGTCGGGGGTGAGTGTGCTCTTGGCATGGACGTCCTTGAGGACAGGCAAAAGGACTTTGAGTGTCTTGCGGCTGCTGTACCTCATCTCGTGGCCATGCTGCTTGCCCCTGAGGGAGACCCGGATGCACCAGACATCCCGACCCCGCGCTCTTACGCAGAGGCGATTTCGGGTCCCTACTCCTCTCAGTGGCAGTCAGCTATGGACGCAGAGATGGCATCCTGGAAGTCCACAGACACTTACGTCGATGAGGTTCCCCCTCCTGGGGCGAACATCGTCGATGACATGTGGATTTTCAGGGTGAAGCAGCCGCCGGGTTCTCCGCCTGTCTTCAAGGCTCGTTACGTTGCACGAGGCTTCAGTTAGCGACAGGGAGTTGACTTCTTCCAGACCTTCTCCCCCACCCCGAAGATGACCACTCTTCGGGTTCTGCTGCACGTCGGCGCTCAGCGTGACTACGAGCTTCACTCTCTTGACTTCAGCACAGCCTTCTTACAGGGCAGTCTGCACGAGGAGATCTGGCTGTGCCGCCCACCTGGCTTCACTGGGTCGTTCCCTCCTGGTACCCAGTGGAGCCTCCGTCGGCCGGTCTACGGTCTTCGCCAGGTGCCTTGTGAGTGGCACGACACACTGAGGACGACGCTTGCGGCTCTTGGGTTCGCCCCTTCCACTACTGACTGGTCGCTGTTTCTGCACACCGACACTTCACTGCCGCCGTTCTACATCCTCGTGTACGTCGACGACTTGGTCTTTGCCACTGCTGACACTGAGGCTCTCGCCCTGGTGAAGTCGGAGCTGCAGAAGAGATACACGTGCACAGACCTGGGTGAGCTGCGCAGTTACCTTGGCTTGCAGATCACCCGGGATAGAGCACGCCGCACCATCACACTAACTCAGTCACACATGGTGCAGGAGGTCCTTCAGCGCTTCGGCTTCACCTGGTCCACGCCACAGCCCACTCTTCTGGCTACAGGCCACTCGCTCTCAGCTCCACCTTCAGACGAGTCCGGTAGAGCCGAGTGGTCCGTACCCAGAGCTAGTGGGCTGCCTCATGTACCTGATGACCTGCACTCGACCTGACCTTACGTACCCTCTTGGCCTTCTGGCTCGCTACGTGGCTTCTGGTAGGCACCGAAAGGTGCACATGGATGCTGCTAAGAGGGTACTGCGATACTTGTGCAGTACATTGGGCATGGGGCTCGTGCTTGGAGGGCGGAGCCCAGTTGTCCTCATTGGGCACTCAGACACTTCTTGGGTTGATGACCTGGCTACGCAGCGGTCGTCACAGGGTTACACGTTCAGCCTTGGCTCTGGCTCTGTTTTCGTGGCGGTCTACACGCTCGTCTTCTGTTCTCAGCTCCAGTTGTGAGGCTGAGATCTACGCCACAGCCATGGCTGCACAGGAGCTACGCTGGCTCACCTACCTGTTGACCGAATTGGGAGAGCGGCCTCGTTCTCCTCCAGTTCCGTACGTAGACAACAAGGCCGCCATTGCCTTGTGTCAGGAGCACAGACTGGAGCACAGAACGAAGCACATCGCTCTGCGTTACTTCCTTGCTCGAGAGTTGCAGCAGCGTGGTCAGCTTCGTCTTGCTCACGTGGCAACTCAGGCCAACACTGCTGATATATTCACCAAGGCACTTCCGTCTGGTGATCATCAACGCTTTTGTACTTTGTTAGGCCTTGTGCCTACGTTTCGTCACTTGCTGTGGACTTTGCGTGTACTGTGACCTATATATTTATATACTTGCATGCTTGTTCTTGCTAGGTAGTGATCACTGTGCTGTTGTTGGTATATATATACCTCTGCATGTGAACTAGCCTTGTGGCCCTTTGCTTTTGCTCAGTGTGTGTGGTGACGTTGTGATCCACCTTGAGCTTGCTTTGCTTTTCTTGACTGGTCTTGTGACCCCTTGCTCTCCCCCACTTTGCCTATGGGGGTGTGTCAAATTATGTATATGTGTAGGCTGTAGTGGGGTAGCCAATATGGGGTAT